ATGTGTTCAAGCTGGGGAAAGTCTCCAAATTCTGAAAGTGAGGAGGGACAATGTACTCACGGGGCCCCCTTAAGTCTACGGAAGGAGGTCTCTAAGGATATCTTCAATGACATACCAAAACAGACAACTACAGAAATGCAGCTTCAAGTTTACACCTCACCTTTATCGTGATGATGCCAGCCGCCCGCGTAGTAGTCCTGAAGGACCTGGGGAGGGTTCCAGGTGTCAAGAATGTAGTCTACCTGGTGCTGCTTCCGCCAAGTTAAAGACTGACACATGATTTCTCTGGCTTTATCAATATTAAAATCACGAGCACGCAGGAACCGGAGAATATGCTCATCTTTTGGAATCTATTAAGAGAAAAAGATGTTTCTGAGCAATATTAAAAGTTACTAAGGGAAAACACCAAGTTGCTAGGAGAATAAGACTGTAAAACTCCCACTTCTTACCAACAGTGAGCTGCTTTATGCTATTCAAAATGAGCTATCACCAGAAAAATGTTCCTTAACACTTCAGAAAATCACTGTTATTAGTCGGAATAATCTTTACAGTATTCCATTCTGGTTTCAGCAAAGTAGAGCAAACGCATACATAATTTATTAAGCAAACCTTTCAATTCTATGAACTATTATAAATTTGTGAACTGTTATGATCTGTGCACTCTCCTGTATATGCATCACTTAATGTAACGACTCAAATGAAAAGTCAGAGTCTAGAAGCTGACTGGCTTCAGTGGCAGATGGTGCTAAAGCACGGGGCCTCTTCACTCACAAAGGACCACAGTTACAAGGAAGTGGTTACAAATGCAGGTTCTAGAACCAAAAGGCCTGGTTCAAATCCTGACCCACCACTTGCTAGTTATGAGATCTTGGGTGGATCACTTCTCTGTGCCCCAGTTTCCTCTTGTGTAAAACAGAGATGAGGAAAACTGCACCTAGAGCTGTTAAGAAGATTAAATAAAGAGCTTAAAACGGGATCTAGTACGTGGCACACAACACATGGTAGCTATTATCATTATGGTTATTTTCTGCATGACTAGAATTAAACAGTATAGTTATTTGGTCTCTAGCAACCAGGACTGACAAAACTAGAGATTAGGCCAGCAACATGCACTGGTAACTTGCTAGACGTGCAAACCAGCCTCTGCTTGCTACTTATTATAAATCTAATTCCTCATGAGGCTAAAATGTCATCAAAAACTTCCAAATTCCTCTGGGAGACCAAGGCGGGTGGACTGCCTGAGCTATCAAGTTCAAGACCAGCATGAGGCAGAGCAAGACCTCATCTCCAAAACACAGCTGGCCATGGTAGTGGTGCCTGTAGCCCCAGCTACTCAGGAGGCTGAGACCAGAGAATCACTTAAGCCAAGAGTTTGAGGTTGCTGTGAGCTCTGACACCATAGCACTCTATTAAGGGTGACAAAGTGAGACTCTGTCTCAAAAACAAAAACACAAACTCTCCAAATTCAAGCTTAAATACTTCTAATCTCAGAACTCCTTTTAAACCTCTAAAATTTAAATGTATGAATACTTGGAAGACACTATTGTTTTGTAATCTGACCTTTAATCTAGATCACTCTATCCCTATAAAGTCTAAAATTATAGTTAATTAATTTTGGAAGGGTATGTATTACAACTTGCCACCAAGGACTCAGAAGCCAAACACAAGATACACATTCAGTAATTTTGAGATCAGAAGAACATTTCCAATATGTCAATCAAGAATATTTGCTCTTGGCAACTACGGACAGGGTGAGAGAGTCTACAGCTTCATGCAGACTGTACCCCGGGTGCCGGTGCCAGCACTCACCTTGCCCTTGTGGGTCTCCTGGAGCCACTGGCGAAGCCTGATGAGGCAGCTTTCCTGCAGCGGGGTCAAATCGCCCAGGTACCTCTTGATGTAGTCTGCATCCAGTTTGTCTGGACACAAGCAACAGGACATATTTACAACACAGTACACTGAGCTTCAGGGTTCTGAAGTCTTGCTGCTCAGTGAGGTTAACATGGTCTTAGAGGTGAAGGAGACTGTAGGGACAGCAGGGTTAAACCAGACACCCTGGAGCAGTGCAGTGATAAGTCTTTAAATTCAATCACTGACTGACCACAGGTGAACTTTCTGATTCAGTTACCCTTCCCTGATCACCTGCTTGCCAAGAGTCAACACTGGACAGTGTTCTGGACACGCCAGAACAATGGTCATAACAGATATTTAGTGACTATTTAATTCCAAGTTATACAAAGAGTCCCTACATAACATATATATATAGAGAGAGAGAGAGATTTTAAAAACTGAACTTAACCCTATTTTGAATATAAGAAATCTCTTTCGTGATAAGGTAACAAAGTGGAAGAATGAGATAGCAAAATAAATACAACCAAAAGAATTCAAAAGGTGAAAAATAAACTGTATTCTAAACCATCTGCCCACACCCACCACCTGTTGAAAGCTAACAAATGGCAGAGTTCTGCCGCAGAGAAGGACGTACAGAAATATAAATCTTAACAAAACCTCTAAGTGGCAGAATTTTCTTGTGTTTTCATATTTTCCTATGTTTTCTGAACTCTTATACAATGGCCATTACCCTATACTTTAAAATACAAAGGGTTTTTTTGTGTATGTGTGTTTAACACACACAACAGGCAGCACTGAGGCTAAACGCAGACCGTGGAGCCAGGCCACTGCCTACCCGACTCGAGGCTCATGACTCAAGTTCTCTGGGTCTCAGTCAGCCTGCATATAACATGAGAAACTTAACTATTTCCACCTACAAGGACCCGTCAGTAGCTGAGTAAAGAGAACGGTACCTGGCACACAGTAAGCATACAAAATGCAAGATGATGTTATCTTTGTGCTGAGAGGACTGTTGCCTCACATTCACTGAAGGTACCTTCACCTAACATAAATGAAAAAGAATAATTTTGGGGTCTCAATAAAAGAATAACTTGATGTCACTTCCTGCCTATTAAAAAAAACTCCAAAAAACTAAGAAGAGTACATTACATAAGCTAAAGGACAAGTGCCAGATCTTGTTTTCACATGACATCTAACATCCCAAGGAGGCAGGAAGAGATGGAGTAAGCAGAGGGAAAATGCTCTCTCTGTGTCAGTGCCCTCGTCTTACTCTCAGAACCAAGTGCCTTTCAGACCTACCGTCAGGGGTCCCCACCACGGGCTCAGGTGCCCCGCCTGGGCTGCCGAGGGCCTCGCTGCTCAGCCCTTCCTGGAGAGCAGCGTCTGGGATGACGATGGCTGTGGCCACGGCTTGTTTCTTGCACGATGACAAAGATGACTCTGCAGAGGGTGTGATGGAAGGTGGAGTCCAGCGAGGCACGAAGGTTATGCCTTCCTCCTCCAGCTGACGAAGGTAGTATTCAATGATTTCTTTTCCCTTTAAAACAAAACCCATTTTGAAAGTGAATATGTATATATTCAATATTCAAATGATTTAACCCTCACAAGTTTTTAAAATACTAATAAAACTGAATTGTTAAAAAGAAAAAGAAAAAAAGCCAAATGTCTCTGCATTTTTGGTTTTAACTGTTTGACTTCTCGTAGGTTTAGGAAATAATATGTAAAGAGATGGAAATTTTTATAAGACTATTTTAAAACACTAATTTACCATACTTAAACTCAACATACATAGTATGCTTTGCCAGCCCTAATTTCTATACAGTACCCTGAAAATAAAACAAGCCTTCAAAATCCTACATGACACATTTCAAAACCACAATTCCATAGTAACTGGTGAGCAACAGCACACAAATGAGGAGGAAGGATCTTCCACGGAAGATGAAACTAATAGTCCAAGGGCTGGGGACCCCTGGGAGCCTGTCTGGTGAGAATCCCTCAGTGTAATGGTATCCCTCGCCAGCAGAGCCTGGGTGGGAGCTGGCAACTGCTGTGCTGCCACCCAACTTCCACTTTCCCGGGCAACTCCAGCGGAGAACTGTGGCCTGCAGCCACACGTTCCTCCCTCAGCAACTAGCAACCTGGACCTGTCACCTGAAGATGAGACACGGGGCAGGGCCCAAGCATCTCCTTTAAGTAGGGGCTGACTCCTCCTCCCAGTCTTCCAAAATGACTGCCAACCCCGATCATCTCAGAGAATCCCAAGATCAACTCACTTTCTTAATATTGCTGGTATATTGTTTCATTGCAATTTTTTCCACAGTACTTTCAAAACCAAAGAAAGATTTAATATCTAAGCTTGCAGACTGCTCAAAACAGGTCCAATCTTCATTTTCAGGGTGAACCTGCAGAGAGAGAGAAAGCGTTCCCACCAACTATACTGACAACTGAGTTATCACCTGTCAGCTCCTCAGTTAACTGGTAACCAGAAGAAACACTCTTTTAATAAAAATGTTACTACCATAAAAATAGCAGATGAAAAAAATTATACAGTAAGGTTCAAAATCATGAAAATAAACCAATAATTTTTCCAAAATATTCTAAAAATGACCATAAAAGGAGAGCTTCATTTTCATTCTTGGTTCATTCATGCACTCAACACACTTGTGCTGTGTCCTCCATTACAAACAGAAAAACCCTTTGTCTCTGATGGGGAGCCAGACAACAAAGCAGAAGCATTACAGGCAGGAGAACGACATGACTGTTGGAAGGGAAGTGCTAGGCAAAAAGCAAAGCTGGAGCAGGATTACAAGGACCAGGGTGGGGCAGCAGGCTGCAGAACTGACCAGAGCAGCAGGGCTGGCTTCAGGAAGGCGGGCAGACAGAGATCTGGGCAGAGCAATTCTGGCATCACCACTCAGAGCCAAGCCCCTGGGGGAGGCCTGTCTCATGGCCAGGGTACAGCAGGAAGGCCAGCAGGCCTGGGCACACCAAAGGACGGACAGAAGAGATGTGATCAAGAGAGAACGCAGAGGGGCATGAGCCACGGAAGGACTCCGGGCTTTTCCTCTGAGTGCACTGTGGAAAAGTTACAGGGTTTTGAAGTGATGTGATCTGACATACTTTAAATGATCACTTTGGATTCAGTGCTGAGGATACCCTGCAGGGGGGACAAGAGCAGAAGCACGAAGACCTGGCAGGACTTACTCTAACAATTTGGAAAGAAGATCTTGAAGCAGGGTAGAAAGCAGTGAAGACGCTAAGACAGATGACACTGCCGGCTCTAATCTTAAAGGCGCACAGCACCTTGGTCCTTCAGTATGTATTTCTAACCCTCAAGTATTACAGTGGGACCAGAAAAGAAGTGGCATGTGAAAGTAACAGTTAAAAACAAATCAAGGCCTCACTTGGCTGCCTTAATTGCCACAATTGTGTAACCCACTCTGCAGGACACTGCACCTCTTAACCTACTGCTCTCACTCATCAGAAAGGAATAACAATATCCATGAAGAACAGCCCTCTAACACAAAGGGGTGTGCTATTTAGAACAGCGCCTGTCCACGCCATCTTGCCATCCTCTGCTAGACGATGGATTACTCACGGTGTAGCAGCAATGCTCGTTAATGATGACTCGATTGGAAAACGTTTCATTGTGGGCCTCAATATGCAAAGTGCGTTCCCGAGAATTCAGTGAGTTTTTCTGGACAAAATAAACATAATCAACTCCGGCAATCTTTAAAGACATAAAGAGAAAAAGGATTTATTAATAATATTCAACTGCACCAGCAGCTGTAAGCATAACATTCTATCTTTTGGGACACGGCCTTCGAAGAGGTCCTTTTTAGTCACCTTCTTCAGCAGTCTGGGTGCATCTATGTCCAGTTTGCAGCGCCTTTCAATGACGTGAATGGCCCCATCTTCACTCTTGAATTCGTTCACAGTGTCACTGTCCACAAACATTGGAATCAAAGGACATGTAGGGAACCTCCTTTCGTAGGCCTATGAATTAAAAACAAATACAAAAAAAGAGGAAGTGAACAAGATGCCATCAGCCTGCTGATACTCTCCCTGGAACAAGAGCATCTCTCGATAAATGTCAACAGAGGCATCACAATTCTCTGTGTCTTAAGCTTTCATTGAAAAAGAAAAAGCCTTGGGAGGCAAAGGCGGGTAGATTACCTGAGCTGAGGAGTTTGAGATCAGCCTGAGCAACAGCAAGACCCCCATTCTTCTAAAAATAGAAAAAAACACCTGGTTTTTGGAGGGTATTTATAGTTCCAGCTATTTGGGAGGCTGAGCCAAGAGGATCACTTGGCCCCAAGAGTTGAGCCATGATGCCACAGGACTCTACCAGGAACGACAGAGTGAGACTCTGTCTCAAAAAGAAAATAAAAAGAAAAACACATTCAACACTCATGATTTGGAAGACTCACCTACTGAAGTTATCAATTCTTCCCACTTGAATACACAGGTTTAACATAACTCCCACCCAAATCCCAGCAAGATTCTTCTCT